AAACTCCGACGAAACAGTTTGTCACAGCCCCTCGTTTGTTGTCCTCTTCTCTCTCTCTGCCTACGGTTTACCGGGCAGTTCTGTTTGTGACGATATATATATATATATATATATATATATATATATATATAAAAGATAAAAAAGTAGGCCGGTGGTAGAGTGGCACGTTACTCGGAACAGTCGTTCCAACCGGTCGAAGAGTAGGCCGGTGTTAGACCGGTATAGGTCTCTGAATATTTTGGATCGAGTAGGTAGGATTAGGTTAGCGGTAGGCCCGGGTAGGGTAGATGGGTAGGCTATTGGTATATGAAGAGAGCAAGTGAATTGAGAAATGTATCAGCGGACATTGTAGACGAGATTAAGAAAGCACGTTTAAGCTAAACTGACTGATGCTGTCAGGACAACTTCCAGATTGAATTGTGAGGTCCCCGGCCTCAAGTATGATTGAATTTGAATGAGAAGTATGAAGTTCAAGATTAAAAAAAAAAAAATAAAAAAAAATTACGAGACAAGATCGGCTTGCAATTCTGTAGTTGGGGGTGGTGCTGTGGTAAAAGGCCAGCAAGCAGGGCCGTGGTCCCATTAGCAAAGAGCATCGGACTGAATGCCTGAATCTGGACGTGTTTGAGGACAGGAGCAGGAAATCGAGATAGAACTGCTTTTCGGTATCTCTGCATAAAACATAGCCAGATTCAGGATTTCTATCCTATCCCCTTCGCTAGTGGGACCATGCTCCAGGTGAACCCCCCTTGTCCTTGTCCTTGTCCTTGATCACCTCCCGCATTGGCGTAAGGGGGTTTTATAACTTATAGCACCTGCCTTCTCGCAGGCCGTGCTCAGCCTATCAATCTGTAATCCCCGTGAGGACCAGGCATGCCAAAGCCAAACGCAAGAGCTGAAACAGTTGCAGCTGCTGTGCTGTGTTTCCTCTTATGGATGCCTTCAGCTGGCATAAGCTGAGGGGAAGAAGAATCGTGCTGCCATTCTCAAGAGCTATGGCAGCTGCACGTCTTCTTCTCACAGCGTCTCTCTTGCTCTTGCTTGTGCTGGCTGCGGTTTCTGCCGTGCAGGGAGCTGGTTCTTCTTCCAGCTATGGCGGCGACAAAGTGGGTCTGCCCCTGCTGGTGGCCTTCGCCGACACTCCGGGGCTGCGCAACACGACAGAAGCCTTCGCTGAGACTCTGGCCAAGGAAACCAACGGCACGCTGTTCGTCTCCAACATCACTTACGGTGTTAGCAGACCGGAGGTCTTTGACGCTGCCAGACATGGCCGTGCTTTCGGGCTCGGCGCCTTTGGCTGGTTTCCCGAGAACGGGCTAGATTACACAACTGCACAGTACCTGGACAACAACCTGCCTTTCTCACTCTCCGTGTTGCAGTTCGCGTCTCTTCTTCGTCACACACCTTTCGGACGCTTCTGGCGACAAGTGTACGAGCCATTTGACATCCGACCGACGGGACACTCTTGGGATCCCAAGACGGGGTCTGGCACAAGCAGCCGGTAACGACGCTTAGCGACCTCGAAAGGTTAAGGTTCAGGTACACGGGGGGGCCATTGACGTCTTTGCAGGCAGAGATCTTGAAGGAAGTGGGTGCGGTACCCCTTCTGGTGCCTGCGGCTGAGTGCAAGCAGGCACTAGCTAACGGGACGATCGATGGCTTGGAGCTACTGGGAGTGCAGCTGGATCTTCCTCTGAAGCTGTGGGAAGCGGGGGCTAAGTACCTTTATTACCCTACCACGCAGGGTCCTGAAGTCACGCACGTCCTCGTGCCAGCCAAGATCGCAGACATGGCAGGAAGTGCACTTCAACGTGCTTGTGATGAGGCTATCTCCGTCAACTACGCGAGCTACTTCGGTCCAGCTGCTCAGGCAGCACTGGAGGAGACGCGCAAGAACGGGATCCGGATCGAACGATACCCGCAAGAGGTGGTTCGTGGTCTGTTCGCCGCGTACAGGAAGGTGATGGCTAGGCATCGCGAGGAGCAGATGAGTAAAGGCAATCGCCTGGCAGTGGAGATCGTGGACGAACACGAGGCATACGTGCGAGCCGTGTCGGACTACGACATCATCGCCGCGACGNAGATGAGTAAAGGCAATCGCCTGGCAGTGGAGATCGTGGACGAACACGAGGCATACGTGCGAGCCGTGTCGGACTACGACATCATCGCCGCGACGGAGGCGCAGGTTCTGCCTGCAAGAGACCATGTCGCACGGTACGTAGGAGTGCAGGTTCCTGTCGTACAGCGCCGCTCTCTGCGCAAGAGCGGGGAATTGTAGCGTGAGCGGGCTGCGGGAGTTGTAGCGTACTATAGCGTAGGCGGGGGGGGAGAGAGAGAGAGACACAGAGAGAGAGAGAGAGAGAGAGAGAGAGAGAGAGAGAGAGAGAGAGAGAGAGAAAGAATCCCACCCTCAGACATGATGTTATCTGTCCCTCCTCTTATCCCGCTGCTCACTCAGTGGATCCCTAGATTACCTACCCTCCTCCCCCATCCCGTTCGCCCACTGCTGTTCCTCCCACCCCACCCGGTGGTTGTCTGATAGACTGGCATACGTACACACACACACACACACACACACACACACACACACAGAGAGAGAGAGAGAGAGAGAGAGAGAGAGAGAGAGAGAGAGAGAGAGAGAGAGANAGAGAGAGAGAGAGAGAGAGAGAGAGAGAGAGAGAGAGAGAGAGAGAGAGAGAGAGAGAGCAGGTGCGTAGAGGCAATCGCCTGGGAGTAGATGCGGTGGACGAGCACGACGCATAGTACCTTCGCCTGGGAGTGGATGCAGTGGACGAGCCCACATACAACTATGATGACCGGGCGTTCTGGAAGACAGTGCTGGTGCAGGTTCCACCTCGCACAGCTGCGGCGTTCTCTGTACAAGAGCCGGCAGTTGCCCCGAGTGTTGTAGCTTGGGAGAGTGCAGGAGGGACCGGCGGTCTTTTCGTTAGCGACTTAGGAGGGAGCTGTATATGGACCTGATTTGTGGAGAGGTGCCGAAAACAACGATTGATCTGTTGCTTCGCATCTATGCAGAAAACACATCCAGATTCCGGCGCTTTTTCCAACCCTAGGACCGGCGGTCTTTTCGTTAGCGACGTATCAGGGATCTGTACGTGGACCTGATTTGTGCAGAGGTGCAGAAAACAACGATTGATCTGTTCCTCTGCATCAATGCAGAAAACACGTCCAGATTCAGGCGCTTTTTCCAATCCTCTTTGCTAGCAGTAGGTAGGGATCGATCTACGAGTAGTGGTAGGTAGGGAGTGTGACGGAGACTAAGTGCAGTTTTTTTTCGTTTTTTTTTTTTTTTTTTTCGCTGTGAGTATAACGGAGACTATATGTAGATCCAGCGGCCTAGCTGAGTTGGTTAGGCATGCAAGTGGCATTCAGGAGTTGTGGGTTCAAGCCTCGTGGCCGCCTGCCGTGCACTTAGTGCCAACGGACTGTGATAGTCCTCTGGATACCCCTGATCCGTATTAGCGGGGTCTATGACCAACACGGGTGTGAGTGTGAGCGCGAGTGGGTTGTGTGTGGTATGTGGGAGAGTGTTGGCCATAGCCTCTGCTGCTACTCTATGAGGGGTGGGGGACGTGGTATGTGGGAGAGTGTTGGCCATAGCCTCTGCTGCTACTCTATGAGGGGTGGGGGACGTGAGAAAGGGAGGTGCAGCTACTGGCAAAGTGCTCGGTCTTTGCGTTAGCCGGACCCCCACCGGCGGCCCCACCCCATCTCTGACTACCGCTGTTGGGGCGGGGGGCAACATGAATTACCTCGTTTGAGAGGCCCTATGCTTGCAGGAGGGGTTGAGAACACTTTCGAGAGACCCGCGAAAGGGGTTGGTCTGGGCCAGTACCTGTCCTGTCTCTTATACACATCTAGATGTGTATAAGAGACAGCTGTTTGGCGCTACTTAAGGGTATGCGTGTGTGTGTGTGTGTGTGTGTGTGTGTGTGTGTGTGTGTGTGTGTGTGTGTGTGTGTGATTTTCCCCACAACAGCCCCAAATCCACCCAGGTGAATAGATTCAGAATCAAAGCAGTCTGTCCTATTGCAGACAATGAGAGCATTTGAGATGTCCAACATATTAAAGCAATTTTATAATTAGACAGTTTTTTGGTTTTCCTTGGGGTACCCCTTTCATTGTTCTTGCAGCTCCCCTTTACTGTGCCTCTTACGCACAAGGCTGCCCTCGTTGATTGTGGTTGAGCGGCAGATTCCCACATCCCCGTGTGCCTTCACGGCCCACTTGCAAGTTATTTCAGGAGGCAGAGTAAAAGGGAAGGTATGCTCCTGTGCATCTCTTCAGAGCTTCATACCCCTGTTCATTTCACTTAGATCTTCATCTTATACAGTGTGTGTGTGTGTGTGTCACAGCCCCTCGTTTGTTGTCATTTCTCCCTTTTTGCCTATATTATATATATATATATATATATGTGACAATATACATATATATATATAACCTGCTCAAATATGCCTATGTTGTCAGCCAAGGGGAGGCCCCACAGGCCACATTTCGGCCTCAAGGCCCTGCGTCCGAGTCCGTCCGACTGTGGAAAACAAAGCCCCTAAAACGAGGCTTCAGAGCCCCTGCGCCCGACAGTTGACCGAAGTCAACTGTAACTCGGGATACTGAGGCTCACGAGTCAAAGTCTTCACGGACCCAGTCCAGGCCACCGATCAGACACACATTTGGTTGTAAGCAGGTATCCAGGCAGCATTTGGTCCAAGTGGAAGTCTGTAACTGTACGTGATCCAGGTCGTCGGTTGTGAGTCAATCTGAGCCTTTGTACGTGAGAGACCAGAGGCTGGTCAACGGTGTCAACATTAGTTATTGACCCAGCCCGTAGGGTCAACATTCAGTCTTGCACTTACTGCTTGACGCTGGCACAACGTTGGCTTGACGCTGGCACAACTCTAGCACTACGCTGGCATTGTGCAACGACGACGCGAGACTGCTGCATCATGATTGCCTTTGGCGCCCTGCTTCTGGGCGCCAGCTGTCTTCTTGGTTGCTGACGTGGCACTTGCCACAATGTCTTTGGCATTGCTGACGTGGTGCATGCCACACTGTCTTCAACGCAGGTTGGGGATTCGACAAGGAGGGAGATCAGGGACTGTGGGATTGATTGAGTGAGAGAGAGGGAAACTTACCTGTTGATGTTGTCGACATTGCACGCTGCAGAGACGTTTTCACGGGAGATTTGTGCCTATGTGGCACTATGTTGTAATCAGATCTTGGCAGATTTGTTTTTGGAATACTGTTTGCTGACGTGGACGTGGGGAGATGCCCGGAGAAGGAGTGGGGATTGAGGGGTTCTATCTACAAGGACATTGATGGATACTTTATCTTTCGCCCTCTAATTCTATTCTCCCCTCTATCAGCTTCATCCTATGGTTACAAGACATTGTATTACAGATCACATTCCATTATTATTGGAGACATTTCTGAGCGGTGAGACATCGTATATTTCGACACTTGACGAGTTTCTCTCCTGCCTGGGTTCATTACAATTTGGCATAAGAGCTTACCTCCTTCATCGCGGTCTGCTGTTGCGAGCCTCGACGCTCCAAGGTGAGGACGGGAGGGCCGGGGAGGCGCCACGCAAATCTTGAATCGCGATTATCATCGCGATCTAGACATTGATTGACGCTTGCGTGCACCTACCCGATGAAGATGATGAGGTGGACTTCGGGAAGACAACAGCGGGCAAGTGGGAGGTGGAGCTAGGGCTCATGTCAACGGCAATGACAACAACAGTGAAAATAGAAGTTGCTACAACAATGACATCAACAACAACAACAACGATGGTCAGCGCCGCCACAACGACATCAGGGGAGCGAAATACAATAATAACAACAACATCAACGCAGTGGGGGGGAATTAGTAGCTTGTTTGGGTTGGCGAGGTGAGGTTTGAGATTAAAGGTGCAACTTACTGTCCCCCCACAATGACCCCCATCCCTACCCGATGTTTTTTCACGTTGATTCGTTTCTCCTTTTTTGGCACCGGGTAAGAGTATGATAGATGATCTCCCCCTCATTGATTAGGGTTGATTGGCTCTAGACTCTCATGCCCTCAACTCTTAATCATGAAGGGGTGTCGCTAGGCCCCATGAGCAGGATAAATGCTTCATGAGCAGGAGGTCAATCCTTCCCCTGCGCAGGGAAGTAATCAATGCGTCTGCTCGTTTCGGTGAGATAGGCGAGTTACGAATATTTACAGATTGGCTTCACACACCTCTGTATAGGGATGTTGGACCTGATCTCAACCTCACACACTGCACATCAATACTAGGTTTCGCCTCTTGGTTTGATTGACAGGATCGGGTTCGATGCCTTGCTCCAAGTTGCTCGCTATGGAGATACGGTAGTCTATAGATTAGGTAGATAAGTTTGTCCCCTCATGAACACAGATCATATCCGAGTTTGCATTTCAGTTTCTGGATTCATCGACATGATTGGGCTTGATTGCTGGCTCGCTATGGACATACAATAGATTAGGTGGATAGGGTTTTCCCCTCATGGGACAAGTATTGCTTAATGAACAAATACAGACAGTACTGGATACACAGTAGGATACAGATACAGATCGATGTATAGGGTTGCTGGACCCGATTTCCAGCTAATATATATCACATCTTTGTATAGGGACGCTGAACCCGATTTCCAGCAGATGCAGCTCCCCACCAATAGATGGAGCCTTCGACGTTGGGGCCTACTTATCGGGGATGCTCTTATCACCTCGTTAAGTAGGTTTTCCGTACACTACGACATTGTTGACATGCAGCTTTGTTGCTGAGGTGATGATCGGCGACCGGCGAAAGCATCGTTGGCTATGGCCATGACGTGGCGCTGGACGACTAAGAGAGAGAGAGAGTGGAAGGAGACTGTTGGCGTGGCATCGAGAGCGCTGCCTATGTGGCATGGCGCGTGGGTGCTGACATGATATCCAAGTATCAGCGGGGTATTGTATGACGTGGCACTTACCTATGTCGCGACTTACCTACTGATGTGGCGCTCCCATACTCCAATGGTATCTTCGATCTGACGTGGCAAACTAGTGACGAATGAGTTGGCAGATGGTGCGCTGCTGACGTGGCATACCAGTTGACGACCTTGCTGGCCATTGACGCTAACGTGGCATACTCCGTGGAGCTATGTAACACCCTGTACAGATACGGGGCGTCCGTACGGCCCATCCGACCGTACGTATGGGCCCCCAGTCGGCGGTACAGGCCGTACGTACGACCGTACGAGCCGTTTCGGCAGTCCTCCCGGGGGCTTTCTTACACATGAGGAGGGGGGAAGGGGGGGTTGCTCC